ATATAGTTTAAGTTTTAAAAATTTGGCTCTCAGAAGAAATTTCAATCATTGTACTGTTGATATTTGGCTCTGTTGACTAATGAGTTTGCGGACCACTGGCTTAATCCATCTGTGGGATGTGTGGTGCTGGGCTCAGGGGACCTATAGACACATCCTGGTCCTTAGATGGTGTTGATGGTTTGGGAAGCCAGGGGCGAAGGGTTGGGGGAGTGCTTCTCAGCCCAGTGTCCTTGCATCCAGGTGCGGAGAGGCAGTCTGCATTCTGAGCCCCGCCTGGTGAAGGGAAGACTCAGGCCTCCTGTCCACTTTGGGAACTCATTAAAGTGGCCAGTGTGACAGATGGGCGCCTGAGGCAGTGCTGGCAGGAACACACATTCTCCTCTCCTTTCTTGGACCTGGTTTGAGGCCAACCCCTTGGACAGCCTCGTGCTGCCTGATGTGGTTTGAAGTACACTCACTCCTTGATAATAGCGACTCACTGTACATCCACTGGGGGCTTGTTTATAAGGGGCTAGCGGGTTTAATGGTGGCTTTAAAAAAGACGTCCGTGTCCTGGTTTAATAGTGGCTTTCAAAATATATGTCCGTGTCCTGGCCTTCATAAACCTGTGAATGTGACCTTATTTGGAAAAGGAGTCTTTGTAGATGTGATTAAGGATCTGGAGACGAGATCATTCTGGACTTAGGGGGAGCTCTAAATCTAGTGACCGCTATCCTTATAAGAAGAAAAAGGCAGAGGGAGAGTCATATCTCAGGCGCACGGAGGGAAGAAGGCCATATGACCTTGAAGACAGACGCTGGTTGGAGAGATGCAGTCAGGAGACACCAGAAGTCCAGAGAGATGAGGAAGCATCCCCTCCTAGAGCCCCCCGAGGGGTGTGGCCCTACAGCAACTTCTTTGTTTACTTCAGCCCCACAATTTGAGAGAATAAATGTCTATTGCTTTAAGCCAGCAAATGTGTGGTCATTTTCTAGGAGACTCACAAAGGGGTGTATGTTTTCCCTGAAAGTTCTCAGGAAAAGGGACAGAGAAAGCTCACACCCAATATTCTTAATATGAAAGTCAGTGGGGCTCACTCCCATAGGTGCAACCCCAAAATGTGAGGCTGTAGCGGCTGTAACCTTCCTATTGCATTTGGTCCTCACTGCAGTCTAGTCCTTTGTATTAAAGTGCACTGTATAACCAGACATGCTCAGTCTGAAAAACATTTTTCCCCCTGTTTTTCTTTTTCAACCTCTGGATTCCAACATCCTTTCAAGTCCATTCACTCACAATGTCTTTTATTTTACTTTTTTACATGTTATCTTTTAAAATTACTATGAACACGCAGGTATTCCTACATAACAGTGTTTGGGCATTTGTATATATGCGCAGGCTATAAAATGATTAATTGAGCGTTGTATGTTTTTATCAAAGGAAACAACACAAAGATTTCTCCAAAGTCCTGTTTGACTAAAGATGATTAATTTTAATTTTCACATGAGCAGCATAATGCCATTAATCATTTAATATGTTTAATCATAATCTCTGTAATTCCTAATTAGGTTTATTAAGCTGCAACATCCAGCAGTTATGCACAAATCCAAATCTAAGTTTCCTTCTTGGTAGGAGGCTAGGGAGAAGGAGCTCGTTGCAATTGGCATTGGAACAGCAACTTCTAACAGGAGGGGACAGAAAGTTTCAGTCTCAGCTGCCTCTCTGCAAACTTAACAGTACTAAGACCCTTGACCCCTCCAAAAAGTGACAATCCCATGATTCAAGGATATGTGCACCTCATGGACATGTAACCAAATCTCACTACAAGAGGAGAAAACACAGTTCCTGTTTCTGCTTGGGTATCAATATTTTTCTTCCATGATTACTTGAAGGTGGCGAGGTGGATCGTTCATTCCTTTGTTCTTTGTTTATTCATGTACTGATCTTCCATTCACCCATTTTGTTGGTGAGTCAGTCACCATTACATAGGCATTTGTCGTGTGTCTACCTCGGCTCATGTGCTGGTCATGTCACACTGCTATGATCCTTTTGTGGCCCCTCATGTCCTGGTCATGTCACACTGCTATGATCCTTTTGTGCTTACAGGGTCATCCGTGATCCAGCCCCTACCTGCCTTGGCAGTGTGCTCTCATGTGCCTCCTTCATACTTGCCCCCTCTGGCCAGGGCCAGTGAGGTCCACATGTACCGTGCTTCCTGAATCTCTGCATCTTTGCATAAGCTTTGCCACCTGCTGTCACAGTGCCATCCCCCACTTAGACATCCCCCACTTCAGATTTAACCTGCAGAACCTAGCCTTTCGGGACCTCCAACAATGCTGTGTGCCCCTGATTTAAGTTTACTCAGCCTTCTGAGATTCACTCTCATTCCAGCATTTAACAATGATATTACAGTTGACTCTTTCTCTTTATCTCCTTCTAAAATGGGAACTGCATTTTAAGACCAAGTTCCATGTCTAGCGTATAGTAGTTGCTCAGTAAAGAGGTGTTTTGTAAGCAAATGAGGACCTTTCTTCTTTATTTCCTGAGAGGGTCTCTTTATATCTCTCACTGATTTAAAAAATCATCATTTTAAAAAATGCATTACATTTTATTTATTGATTGTACACCATGAGCCAAGAACTCTGCCAAGCAGGCATAGGTTATTGTGTTCATTCTTCACAGAGCCATTTAACATATGCTGTATTATTACTGTTCATTTTCCAGACGAAAAAACTGTCACCATCCTCCTTCTTACTCCAAAAGCATATGCAAAATTGTTGTTGCAATCAAAACATTGCACTTGGGAAGGAAAAAGTCACCTGGTAGGGGGCTTTGGATATGAAACCAGCTTGCGAAGTAGTGTGCCAGTCACTGGCGGTCTTGACTTCAAACTGCAACTCAGGATGTATAGGATGGAGAATAATGAAATAATAAATGAAGTCTGCCAGTTAATACAAGAGTTGACAAGAAAGCCACTAATTATGCTCATGTTATTTTGGCATATATCTATTTCACTTTGTAAAATTGTCTTTATTATTTTACAGCTGGCTGCCTGCATTGATAGTTTTTCCCCCCTCTCAATTATATGCCACTAAATTGTGTATAAGTAGTTGTGGGCGATTCCTTGCTCATAATTGATGAGCTTCCATATAGGTTTTTCCATCTTGGCCTCAGAGAAGCAGGTATCTGATGTGGATGGCATCTACTGCCACCTGCAGGCAGTATGTGCTAATTGCAGGGAAAGTATCTAAAATGAAGCATCTCTGAAATGTTGAAACTATAGGAATCAGAATATGGGCATGGCTACAATGATACCAAATGGTACTGAGACTTTTCTCTTAGTTCCTGCTTATATACAGGTGTCATTCTATTAGCAAGTGATCCAGGCTTTCATTTGGGAGGGATGGAATGGGAGGCAGATGAATTATGCTAATAATGTGACGATGTCCACACCAACTTACTGCAATAGAAAATTCTGCAGTGATGGAGAGGTTCTGTATCTGCTTGCCTGGTATGGAAGCCAATAGCCACATGTGGTGACTGAGCACTTGAAATGTGGCTAGTACAAATGAGGAGCTGAATTTTATATTGTATTTAATTTGTTTACATTTAATTGTTATATAGGGTAAATTATAATGGACAATACTAGCCTAAAAATCAAGAAACCAAAATTCAGCCCTGGCCCGTTAGACTTAGTGGATGGAACATAGGCCTGTGGATTGAGGGGTCCCAGGTTCGATTCTGGTCAAGGGCACATGCCCGGGTTGCAGGCTCATTCCCCAGTAGCAGGCATGCAGGAGGTAGCCAATCAATGGTTCTCTCTCATCATTGATGTTTCTAATCTCTCTCTCTCTCTCTCTCTCTCTCTCTCTCTCTCTCTTTCTCTCTCTCTCTCTCCCTTCCTCTCTGAAATCAGTAAAAATATATTTTAAAACAAGAAACCAAAGTTCAGCCCTGATCAGCTCGGTGGATAGAGCTTTGGCTTGCAATCTGAAATGTTCCAGGTTCCATTCCGGTCAAGGGCATGTACCTTGGTTGTGAGCACATTCCCAATAGGGTTGTGCAGGAGGCAGCTGATTGATGTTTCTCTCTCATCAGTGTTTCTAACTCTCTATCCCTCTCCCTTCCTCTCTGTAAAAAATCAATAAAATATATATTTTTTAAGAAAGCTCAAACCATAAAATAAAATAACTTAAGTCAATCAGATAGCTATTTGGATTGCAGAATACCAAACGGCCTTTTCAAATGTTTTAGTGCATATACTAATATTTTATCTGTACAATCTCAGCAATTATGTAGGGTGTGTCCTAAGATTTGAACAGCCTTGAGTAAGGGATCCACCTTCCCCTACCTTTGTGAGTCCTATCCCCTTCCTGGTGACATTTTTCTCTGACTGCCGGTTAGCATTCCTCGTCCAGCCCCAGCACCAGCTAGCCCATTCCTTTGCTATATTTTCTTCTCAAGTGCTTTTCTCCTTTTGTCAGCTCCATATGTATTTATTTTTACTTATGTATTTTCGTTGTTAATCCTCACCCAAAGATATTTTCCCATTGCTTTTTAGAGAGAGTGGGAAGGAGGGGGAGAGACACTTTGAGAGAAACATTGATGTGAAAAAGCCACGGTTACCTCCCACACACGCCTGGACCAGGGCCAAGGATCAAGCCTGCAACTGAAGTACATACCCCTGACGGAATTGAACCCTTGACTCTTTAGTCCTTGGTCCAATACTCTATCCACTGAGCCAAACCAGCTCTGGCCCGTATTTATTAATGCGGCAACCCCCTTCCTCCCCAGAAATATGCTCTGTAAAGACAGCGGTTTTTGCTTTGCCCACTTCCAGGTCCATGACGGGCACTCAGAGTTCAGTCAATTGTTGTTGCATGAATGAAAACCACTCAGCAGTTCCTTCCTGCCTTTATTCCTTTGCTCTGGCATTTTCCTACCAGGGAGGTGATGCAAAAGCATTCTGGGAAAGAGCGTCGGGGTCCACTCACAGCCTCTTCGCTTTGCTCTCGTTCTTTTAGCAGACAGATGACGCAGCGCCGACGGATGGCCAGCCCCAGACACAACCTTCCGAAAATACAGAAAACAAGTCCCAGCCCAAACGCCTCCATGTCTCCAACATCCCCTTCCGCTTCCGCGACCCGGACCTCCGACAAATGTTTGGCGTAAGTACTGCCTTTCTCCCCTGCAGGGCCTGCTCTGGGCCAGAGCCCTGCCCGCCATGTAAGTTCTTGCTATTTATAATACGAGGTGAGACGTTTAAAAGGGAGGATTTTGGGTCCCATTTTGTGGGTGTATGGTGGTGAGGCTCTTTCACTGTTTTTAACATAAATTTCTTTGCCTGTGTCCACCATGTTTCCATTTTGCCAAATGGCCTCTTTCTAATTAGCCACTGACCTATCAAATGGAAAATTGACTCTCAGATAATACACTGCTGAAGCAAGCCATTGGTGATCCCAAATGGAGAGGCCCAGACCCCATGTCATGGCTAAAAGAAACATCATGTTTCAATTTGGTTCTTCACTGGAAGGCAGTTGCCTGATTGCCATGACGCATTCAGGCACACCTTACCCTTTCCCAGGCATTGAGCATTTAGAGGGCTGATGCAGCTGTCGAGAATTAGTTCTAAAGCTCTGTTACAAGGAAAAAAAAAAAAAAGAAAGAAAGAAAAAAAAAAAAAAAAACAGAACAAAGGCTAGAGACTCCTCAGCCTGCAGTGTACACCCTTCCGGAACCCGTGGTGAGGGTGCAGAGATTCCTGTTGTGGTGTTGTATGTGCCAATGACAGCATGCTCCACCCCCAACCATGGCGAAATGCAGAGACTGAAGTCACACCCACCCAGAGAAAAGAAATGATAGGGCTGCTTCCTCATGGGGCATCGTGACCCGGACAGTATTTCTGCACAGTATCTGCCCTGTTTACTGTGGGAATGGATGAGTTTGGCGTTTCCTTGGGCTAAGTTTTGCCAAAGGGCAATGCTACCATGAGCTTGGATACTACTCATGTTTGCAAACATAGTCAGTCTATTTATCCGTGACATCCGACTTGGTGGGAGGTATCTGTGGATTCAGGGAACAGGACGACATTCTTAACGTTTGACTGAGAGCAAAGGTTGGCTGCCTGGAGATTCTTCTTCTAGGGGTCTTTGGATGCACACGGATATGACAAAAGGAATAAGAAATAGACCACCTTGAATGTCTAGTTCTGGGCAAAGTAGCTTTCATTGCCCATGAGAGAAGGGAGCTCTGGCTCATGGCCCTGCGACTGTGAGGTTCACGTGCACCTTTTATTCCTTGAACATGCATGATGTTTATCAAGCGTGCATCTGACACAAACGCAGGCCAGGCATCCTCACATTGAAGACACCCAGACTTGAAATCTGACATTTCCGAGGAAAAGGTCAGCTCCTGCACTTTCATCTTTCTCATTTGGCAATAACCTTGAGTTGAGCCCTCTCTAACTGTTGCAGAGCAGAGATATCCTCGGGCACTTTCGGGTCAAAGATGACTTTGAAAAGTGCAGAGCATTCAAAGTGAAAGTGGAGGTTAAGTGTGTAAAGCAGCCAGGCCAGGTCTGAGTGACGGGAAGCCAGTGGCATCTGATTCCTTTTGCCACAGCAGGTGAGGAAGCCATCTTGCGCTCCAGCCCATCTTTGCTCATCAGGTGTCACTGGGATGTTGGCTTTGAACTCGGTCCTCTGGATGCCCATCCGGGGCTCCCTCATGGGGTCGCTCATTGCAGCGCACTCCAGTTCCCACCCCCCAAGGCTGTTCTTCACTCCCTGGTCTTCTGGGTTATCATGAAAGTTCCTGGAGAACGACACTACTAAGTCAGAGAGGCATTCTCAATACCCACAGCTAGAATTCCCCATTGTACTATCAGTTGTCAAACCTTGATGGAAATCGACTGGTTTCATAGCCACTTTTTGTAAAAGTCAAAATTGTCAAGCAACTAGCAAGATGTCAATCTGACAGAATGATAGATACACTTACTATTTATGCATTAAGAAAACACAGCGTACATTCAGTGATATTGAAATGTATGTTTTGTTGATCACAAACAGCATCTGTGTCCATTTAGAAAAGTAGGCAGGATTTTTGTCATAGGTTTCATCCATAAAAAATTATTAGGTACATGTGGATTCTGGGACTCTGCTGTAAATCTGAGGCCTCTTTGTTTTATAACCATAATTCTGAAGAAATGGAATTTTAACACTAAAAAAAAGCAACAACAACAAAAACGCCTATATTTCCTAGCCAAATGCTGGTGTTGGCAAACCTATTCTGGTTATCTGATACATTTAGTGACATGAATCCCTTCAGAAGGCATCTGTAAACATTCTGATTGGCTTCCCAATTTTAACCCCTGATTGGTAGTTTTCAGACCACATGGACATGAGATACCTCCTCTCCTTTTGGTGGAATATTCTGCCTTTATCCCCTCACTTTGGCAGGAGCTACAGTACCTGCTATGATGGGGGGGGGGGGAACGCTCACAAGGCCCCTGAGCTTTTCTCCTTTGTCTCTTTTCCTGAAAGTGGCCACGGGAGTTTCAAACTCAAAACAAAGACAAAACTCACAAGATAAAAAAGCAGCCACCTTTCTCAATGCAAAAAACCTGGCAACGTTCATAACAACTTCCTCCTTCAGTCCTGAAGTTTGCAAACTCTGTGGGCTTAATGGTTACCACAAGTGCCATATATATATATATATATATATATATATATATATATATATATATATATTTTTTTTTTTTTTTTTTTTTTTAATTTGTGGCTCCAGTGTCTCCTTATTGCCATTCTGGTTATCTTTTCTTCCACATGTACTTCATATTCTGCACTTTCTCCTTTTTTTGGAGGCATGGGTCTCCGTGTTTGTCATGAACTCTTCTAGCTCATTATAGATTTCCTGTTCTGTTTAAGATGGAGCATTCCTGGGCCTTGCTGCTCTGTGGCCACATTATCCAAAGTAGAAGTCTTTTGAAAGCACCAAAAGGGGTGTGAGTGAATGGCTTGAATATGTGATCAAGACTTTGCTTCTGAAGGTTTCACTGGAAGGAATGTTGGTCCCCATCTGGCTCCATTCTTCTTGAGCTCTGTCCTCATGTCAGACATCATTCATGAGCCACTACTTCCTTTACATTGAGTTCTTAACGATTCCATTAAAGGAATGTATGGATTTCCACAGATTAATTATAATTTCTTGCTCCTGAAATATGAAATTTAATTTAACCTAATATTAAAATGTTAAGCATTTCTGGGTTTGGGAAGAGAGAAGTGGTTATAATCTATCCAGATCATGGATACACCTCATTCCATTGTAGAATTATTTTCAGAAACAGCTGCTCAGTGAGTTCAGGTTTCAAATTTGCACAGGACTCTTGATGTCACAGCTTTGCTTTTGTTATCAAAAGACAGACTCACTTGGGCATGCACACGATCTATGGAAGTCTCTCTCTATGGTCAGCAAAAAGCAGGTCCCCTGACTTTCAGAGCATGCAAAAGAAGCTTTCATGATCAGCTCTGCAGTAATAAGATAGAGCGAGAGAGATGGTGGCACTTCCAGTGTTAACAGGAATTCCATCCACTGTGATATTACAAGTAGTGAAGCTGATCTCTCGGGCATGGTTTGGTGCCTCCTCGGTCTGCATTCTAAGCATGAAACTGACCCCAAGAAAACTCAGAGGATGCCTTTCCTTAGCCTCCTGTACATTCTTTGAACTAACCTTTGCTTTCATGTTTCATGCTCTATCCATTGACCATCTTGCACAGTTTTTCAGAGAAATATTATTTGATCTGAGAATGTCTACAAATGCTTGCGACAGATTTGCCCACGTGCGTGCCTATAAGCGCCTGGATTTCCTTCTGGATGCAGCCATCCAGACACCTTGTGTGGATTCTGAGACATTGTTGAACGCCACCCAACATTGGTGTTGAGCAAACAAATGCTAGTTATGTCTGCGAATGAGTCGTGTCTGTTTAAACTGAAAATGTGCCAGCTGTGTTTACATCATTAGTACCAACTTCCCAATTAAACTGTTGATACTATAAATATAGTACACAACTGTCTCAGCCATGGGGCTGACATCAGCATTCTTCTCAAGGCTCGTTTCCTTGGCTCTAAGAATCATCAGCCCAAGGGTAGCAGCCAAAGAGGCAAACAGTTGAGACCATTTCAGGGCATATGGTGTCATCATTTTATTTGGGGAAAGACACATGCTAAGAGTATTTCTCCTTTGGTTCTTTCTCCACGAGATCTTATTTTAAGGAAGTGTTTTTGTGTTGACTGCTGAAAGAATGTTCCGTAGGTGACCTTTGCATCATAATTTGGAAAGAAGTTCTTTTCAAGCTTCCCTGCCCATCAACACGAGTGCTTTTGGGCCCTTATGTCCAAAATACATATAATAGCATCTGAGTGGACTGACTTTTCTAAGTTTATATCAAAGTTACTGCTTCTGAGGCATTCACCCAGCTGGAGGATTGCTTAACTCTGAGATTAAGTTCACCTTTCAATGGTGAACACTTCTTTTCCAAATCTGAAAATTTTCTTTTTCTGTGTTTAGTGATTTTCTTTGCCCAAATCTAGGGCACTCAGAATGCTCTGTAGAAGAGTATTCTCTTGACAGAAAGACTGAGCATCCAGAAATGGCAGGGTGAGTTAGCTGCATGCTTCTTGGTGTTTCCATTGTATGGGCAGACCTCATTTATTGCACTTCACCACATTGTGCTTTGCAGATAAGGCATTGGTTTTATAAGATGAAGGTGAGAACCTCCACCAGCAAAGTGATTATGACTTGCAGAAGGCTCAGGTGATAGCATTTTTTAGCCAACAAAGTATTTTTAATTAAGATATATATATATATATATATATATATATATATATATATATATATCTTAGACATAACACTATTGCACACTTAATAGGCTACAGTATAGTGTAAACATAACTTTTATATGCACTGGGAAACACAAAAACTTGTGTGATGTGTATTATTGCTATATTTGCTTTATTGCCGAGGTCTGGAACTGAACCTGTACATGCCAGCATCCTTCTATCTCCTCTCTTAATTGAGCCTTGTCTTCTTGATGGTTTCCTGTCCTTCTATCCTTTGGGAAGTAGAGAAGCACTTGTGTTCAACAAGAAAAATTCCACTCTATGATGTCCTTCCTGGGTACATATTCCTAGCAATGGGCATATTTAAAGACACAGGATGACATAGCTTTGGGTTTCTTTTTCTCATAGTAATAACTATTTTCATTTTAAGGATTTGAGCTATTTGTATTTATACTAGAGGCCCAGTGCATGAAATTTGTGTAGGGGGGGGGGGGGTGTTCCTTTAGCCCAACTGTATCCTCTCCTATCTGGGAGCCCTCAGGGGATGTCATACTGATGGCTTAGGCCTACTCCCCTGAGGGAGGGCCTAAGCTGCAGTCTGGCCTCCCTCTGCAGGAGGTGACTGGGCTGATGAGGGAAGGCACCACCCCCATTACCCTGCTGCTGCTGCCACTGCCAGCCGCCGCAGCCACCAAGGTGTTTTCATCAACGCAGACTCCAGTTCCTTCACCATGAAAAAATGACTTTTTTAAAGGCATTTTCAAGATGTCTCTTTCATAGGATCTGACATTTCTTTCTTTTCTTTTTTTTTTTAATCATCACCTGAGGATATTTTCCCATTGATTTTTAGAAAATGTGGAAGAGAACGGGGAAGACAGAGAGGAACATCAATGTGAGAGGGACACTTAGATTGGTTGCCCCCTGCATGATCCCTGACCTGGGCCCCTGACCTGGGTCGGCAGGCTGAGGCTCTATCCACTTAGCCAAACTGGGTAGGGTAGGATATGACATTTCTTAGCCCCTCCAGGAGCTTTGTTTTTTCCTCCAGGAGTAAGGTGGAAGACCCTAGATCACCTTCATAGATTCTTATTACCCAAGTTCCAAGTACAATTGGTGAGAGTGGCCTACAGGGAGCTTAGCCAATGAGCAGTCAGAAAAGGTGCTTCCTTTGCTGCTCATGTGCAGAGGTTGGATTGCCAGCATGCGCAGCTGGCAGGCCCTATTCTCTGCAAGCCTGAACCATCCGTGGCTTGCCTTACCACACATGCAATCCTGCAATCCCCTCCCACCCACCTGTGCACACAGCTGCCTCCTGAGCTGTTGTGATGTTATGGTATACCGGCTAATTTGCATATTACCTCTTTTTAGATAGATGATAGATAGATAGATAGATAGATAGATAAGTAGCCTCGGGTATGCATATGTTTTCCTCTCTTTTCAAGTAAGGTAGGATAGTTTGTATGTTCCAGAAGACAGCCTCTGTATGTTCAAAAAAATTTTTTTTTCTTGAATGTTAGTAAGACCCTCTTGACACTCACTTCAGGGCCTCCCAGCATCCTCTGACAGATGCTCCTGGTCAGGCAGGTTGTCCTCAACAATCTGTGTTCAGATTGTTCCTTCCCTGTCTTACTCCTCCCTCTGAACCACTCTGTCCTATACTGCATGGAGATTGCTCCATGCTTTTCACTCAGGGGAGAGACAGAATGCCTATTCTCCTACAGCAATAAATAACACAATAAAAATTGAGGCTGCAGAGGCAAATGGACAATAGGAAAGCTCAAAATAAAGAAAAAAGAGATGGAAACATGACTTTATGGTCTCCTGTATATTTTTTTAATAACATGAACATTCGCTCCCTTCTGCATCAGGATAAAACTTCCATCTTCTTTTTCCCTGGGCAATGTCGCCTACTTGTATGCCATCCTCTCCCACCTGCTCTCAAAAGTCGCCCACTTGACTTCATGTGAGTGAAGAAAACTGACAGGATTCCAAGGTCAAGAAAAAGGATTTTGGATCATCAGATGCTTCTGGTGTCAGGGTGCACATTCCTTTTTCTCTTTAAAGTGTGAATCAAGAATTGCTTGACATCTTTCTCCTGAGGACTGCCAGATTTAGCAAATAAAAGAAAATACAAGATATGCTAGTTGAATTTTAAGTTTAGATAACCAATATTGTATTAAGAATAAGTGTTTCCCCAGTATTATTATCTTCAGGGCATAATTATTCTTGAATAGTTGAAATTTTAATCTGCGTAGGCATCTGTATTATGCACAACTGTCCAATTTATTTGTCATAGGAAGTTGTGTTCCTAGACTTGAATACATGGAGTTGCCTTCACTTTTTATAGAGCACATTCATGCTAATTGTCTAAAACATGTTTGTTGGTTTAGTAACACAGAGAATCATCTGGAGAGAAGTACATTCCAGCCCGAAGTCTAATCACAACTGTGCTGGTGTATGGATTCTGACGAGCATCCGGATAGTGGATCTTGCTTTTATCTGTTTGTACTTTACTTGTCTTACATGGCCTGGCTGTTTCATGGGTGCTTGTGACCAAAATCCTCAACCTCATATTCTTTTGGGACACTTTACTACCCAAATCCCACTTCATCTAACCTTTTGATTAGAGGGGTGGCCTAGAAGGGTCGGCAGATACATTAGCCATGCTTAATCTTTGCTGCTCAGAGCCTGCGAAAACAATCCTGCACACAGAAACAAAGGAAAATTGAAATAACCTCTTGATTACCTATTTTGTACCAGGCCCCTTACTCTGCTCTCTCACTCTGTGGGGTATGGCATAACATGGAAACAACATGTGTGGTTATTTTTTTCTCTTGGTTCAAGGGCACTGTTTAAGAACAGCACAAAATAAAATATAATATCCCTGTGTATTGAAAGAGAACAGATGATTCAATCTTGGGGTACCATTACCAATGTGCATAATATGATTTCCTTTACTTTTCTTATTGCTTATAAAATATTTCTATTTCTTTGCAGCAATTTGGTAAAATCTTAGATGTTGAAATTATTTTTAATGAGCGAGGCTCCAAGGTAAGCAACTTAATTCACTTTAGAATCGTTTAGCTTATTGTAAAATGCTTGTTATGAATAATGGGAAACAACTGCACTGTTTTAATCAGCACATGGTGAAAATACCCTTCAGGGGGCATTCCCTTGGAGACCACTTCCGGTTTCCAAAGTCATGGGAAATGCATTGGGTTCAGTTTTAAATATAGAAGGGGGTCATTTAGAACTGCTGTTTTATCTACCTATCTATTTATAGATCAAGTTTCCAGAGGAAAATTACCCATGCTTAAAAAAATAATGGTGTTGCTACATTTTTGTTTTTGTTTTTCAGTGATAATTATGTTCTTTATATTAAAAAGTGAGTTGATAGTCTCATGAGCAGGTAAATATGTGATTATTCTGTATTAATAAAGTGCAGTTATTTTCCTGGGCTGTAGGGAAGAAAATGTCATATACACCAACCTTTTGAATTTAGCTTTCTTCATTAGCGTGTTTACCAGTTCACATTTTGCAATTTGCCACTGCTTTGATTTTGTTTTTTCTAGGAAACCAAATTTTAAGTTTATTTTCCTAGAGCACACAGTATTCATAAAAGTATGTGGTTATCTAAGTAGGCTCCAGCTCTTTCAAAGTGGAAATACATTGGGTTAGAAAAATAAAGGCCAAACTCTTCCAAAGCATTCTCTGTTCAGCCATCACCTACATGTGGTTCTCCAGCCAGCCGGCACCTCAGCATCACCTGGGAGCTTATAAGACATGCAAATTCTCGGGCTCCAAACCCGATCTAGTGAGTCAGAAACTCCGAACTCAGGGCCCAGCCATCTGTGCTTTAACAAACCTTTCAGGCCTATTATTAAAGTCACAAACACCGAGTGTTCTTGTTTTAGGCAAATGCCAAGGCTTCCTCTGAATGCACAGCGCCCTCTGCCCACGGGTGTTTTGTGGGTGCAAAAGTGTCCTCCTTCCACCTGCACCCCCCAGGGAACTCAGGAACCCCTTCAGAATCTCCTGTAGGGAAGCAGTGCCCTCAGCCCACCAGCAGAGACTGAGGGGTAGCGGGAAGATGCTTTAAGAGCTGTGCATTGACCTAGGCAGCCATGCAGGAAACACTTGCAATAACTGAGCTGTTTCCAGAGAAACCACCCACAGGACCTCAGGGAGCTTAAGCTTCCTTCTCTTCCCCTCCTCTGACTGTGAAAGTGGGGATTAACAGAACGTGCTTACAATTGACAATAATTAAGTATGTAAACAGCCCAAGTGCCCATCAGTAGACTCGTCGATAAAAAAAAAAAGCTATGCTACATTTATACACATGGACTACCATGCATCAGTAAAAAAGAAGGATCTCTTACCCCTTTGAGATGTCATGGAGGGGCCTGGAGAGTATTTTGCTAAGTGAAATAAACCAGTCAGAGAAAGATAAGAATCACATGATCTCACTCATATGTGGAGTCTAATGAACAAAATAAACTGATGCACAAAATAGATCCTGAGGCAGAAGCATAAAACAGACTGTGGAATCTCAGAGAGAAGGCAGGGGAAGGTGGTAGGGGAGAGGAAATCAACTAAAGAACTTGTATGCATCTATGCATAATCCATGGACACAGACAATGGAGTGGTGAAGGCTTGGTGTGGGGTGTGGGGGCAGGCCAGTAGGAGTCAAGGGGGAAGTAGGGAGCATATGTAATACTTTCAACAATAAAGATTTAATTTTTAAAGGAGTCATATTAAAAAAAAAAAAAAGAAAGAAAGAAACAGAGAGAAAGTGTTCACCAGTTACAGAGTATTTTAGCCCCATCACTCCCTTACACAGGCAATTTGGGACAAGTCAGTTTGGAGGGAGTGCTACTCAGAGGAAGGGGTTTATCTAAGATAGCAACGACAGCCTGTACCCATTGCTCCTGAGTATAATTAGTATTAACTAAATTGGATAATGCCAATGGCATTGAGGGAAGAAAATCCCAGTGTCCTCTTCTCTACAGCCAAAACGATGTTGTGAGTTGCCAGATTGAGTCAGGTACATCAATCCATTAGAGTTTTTATAATGTTCTGCTAGTGCAGGGACCTTGCCACTCCATCACTTCAGACCTTTTGCCATCCTTCTTGTAATATGTCGGCAGTTTGACCTCTAGGCTCAGAGACAGAGAAGTTAGCTCTCTTTCTGCTTCTTGTATGGAAGTCATCACATGGACTACGTCTACCCCTGCAAAGCCAAGTCCATGAGTAGAAAAATGAGCCCAGTCTCATCCTTTTCCCTTAAGATTGAGGTGTTCTGGGCAAAGCTACAGGAGAGGACCTGAAATGTTGGCCAACTTCCTTCTCATCTAAGCCTGTAGCTCCACTATTTTTGAAGGTGTGTTTTTTTCTAAATTTTTCTATTTAATTTATACTTTGTTTGGTAACTTTTGCCAGTGGGGGAAAGCTATTTTATTCCTTTCCAGAGCTGTTTTGGGACATTAGAAGAATATCATTTGCTATTTTGAAAGTACAATGGCAGTGCTATTTTTGAGACTCTTTGTCATCCTCATGATTAGCCTGTCTCTGGGGCTTTCCGAATAAGACCACTTAAGTGTGCCTCCTCCAGACACTGACTCTGAAGCTGTGTGTGTGTGTGTGTGTGTGTGTGTGTGTGTGTGTGTGTGTGTGTGTGTGTTTAATTTGAAAACATAAAAAATCACCCCTCTCCCCCTGTGGGTATGCTCCCTTTCAAAGAACTGGTCTGACCTGGCAGGTGTCAAGGCTGACTGTTTAGGTATGGCTGAGAGTCATGGAGAAAGTCCATTTGGGATCTGCTATATGAGGACCTCAGCTCACAATGGGCTATTTTTCCTACTTGACATCATCCTTTATAGGGAATGGGACTATTTAGAGGAACATTTTCATTTTAATGGCTGAAAAAGCAGAATCACTATTATGACCTCATTTTCATCATTGGGTGCTGGAGGTGCAGCCAGCAAGTGGGTGGGCCCTAAGAGCTGGGAGCTCACCTCCTGGCTGCTCCCCAAGGCAGGTCACTGAATGCTCAGTGAGTATGTGTGTTCTGCGGGTGCTTGGTATGTGTGTGTGTGTGTGTGGATACCTACATGAGGAGCATCTGTTATCCAGGAATGTGTAACATGCATAATGCATTCATCTATGAATAGAAAATGTACAAGGTAACCACATTAAACACACACACACACACACACACACACACACACACACACACACCCCTATGCCAAACTTTATAAATGGGAACTAGATAGCATTTAGGAGTGAGAGGTTCTGTAATTCATTTTTCCTCTTAGGGGATTTACAAACATTATTTGGCTCTGAAATGTTTTATTTGAGGATATAGACAAATATAGCTACTTTTTAATATGCCTAGGGAATATTCAGGCTGGCATTTGCCCCCATAGACTTCAGTAAGTAAGGGTCACATTCCAGGTACCAGATGGGCTGATAAACCATGAGCTAGACAGGAGTGCTTCCCATCACTCTCACAGACTCCAGAGCAGCAGGAAAGGCGGGCCGTGGAGACAGGCCTCTGCAGCAGAGGATGCTGTGCTCTGTGATGAGTGAGAGGCTGCTGAGAGCCTACGCGAGCAGGGCAGGCCGGTGTTGTCAGAAGGTGGGAGGCTTCTGGGAAGAAGGGGCACGTAAGCTGAAGGAAGAAGATGGGTAAGAGTTCCCCAGGGAAGGGGAGGAGGGAAGATGTCCAAGGAGAAAGAGCTGCATGGACAAAGGTCAACGAAAAAACAAGCTCTTAACTCCACAGGAAAATGAACCTTCAGACAGTGGTTTTCTGCACCAGAAACTAGAGGGGTTGGATTTTCCTGTCAGATGGAAAGTCAGTGTGCTCATCCGTCCTTCAGAGCTTTTGGGTGAGATATGAAATGTACTTGCATTCATGCAAAAAACAAAGTTAGCACCTAAACATATGCTACAAGACCAAGTAGAAAAATAACTGGGGTATGGGGAAATCAGAATTCACGATCCACCAAAAGCTTTAAAAATAACCAAGACATGCCAGTCTGGTGGCCTCTCTTAGATTCACATCATCTGGCCTGTGGATCATGCCTTCCCATCCTGGGGCACATGTCACAGATCCAGCTTCCATCACCATGGTGCCTTCTTCAGGTATTCTTCATCTAACATCCAAATATTGTGTCAGATAGATATTCACCTCAAAAACTCAACCCACTCCATAGGTTTGCATTATAGACGTTGGTGGGACAATATTCTACTTCATATAAAGAACTGAAGCCTTTGTTTGATGGTGCGTGGTGCTGAGAGGCCATGGGAACCCAAAGGCTGGGCCACACGGCAGCTTTTTTAACAGATTCCTGGGCTCCTCTTGGGGATTCTGGTCTGGTAGATATATGTCAGGACTCGGCACCTAAGTGTTTAATATGCTCCCAGTTCCTTCTGATGTGCAACTAAGTTTGGAACCCAGAGCCATCAAACCCCCCAAATTATATTGTTTGCTCATCAAAGAGCCATTATTATTCAGTTAGGAAATTTATCGGAGTACCAAACATAGGTATCCCACCTAAATAGAGCCCTTCTCTTATGGAGCATATCATCTTATATTAATCAATTATTTCAGACCTATAATTTTTGTTACATTGTTTTGTTTTTGTTAATCCTCACCCGAATGTATTTCCTCCATTGATTTCCAGAAAGAGTGAAGAGAGTGGGGAGAAATAGAGAGAGATATCAATGGAGAGAGACACATCAATTGGCTGCCTCCTGCACACACCTTGACTGGGCCAGGGATGGAGCTTGCAACTGAGGTATGTGCCCTTGACTAGAATCAAACCCTTCAGTCTGAGGGTTGCTCTAACCACTGAGCAACCACGCTAGGACAAATATTTTTAGATCTCTCTTAATCATAGATCCTCACCATGGGAAATGTTATGAAAGGTAATTCCACCCCCCGCTTCCAAATTAAAGAAATTTACTTTTTCACTCTACAATCCTGCCAAAGAGACACGTCCTCTAGCTTGGATCCATTTACAGCTGGTGTCCTCTACAGATGAGTTCAGGTTGACACTGGAAAGTTCTCTGTTAGGCAGACCACAGGGCACCCTTCCCAAATGCCCTGAGCTTCGGAGAACACTCTAGTGACCTCATGAGTGATTGGGAGTTAACACTGTCTATTGTATTCTTCGTAAAATAGAGTATCTCCCTGCCCCAGCCAAGCTTAAAGCCAGCATTTACCTTTGCTGAAATAGCCGCACACACAGCATTATTTCCCCCAGTTTACACTGTGAAAAAAAAACAGAACGAGCTGGGCAAATTGGTACTGGCAGTGTTTCAAAAGGTTGGTGTATATATCTGAACAAGTCGTACACTTATTTTTAGGGGTTTTAAAAATAATGTGTCATATTCTCTGTACTCTTCTTAGGAACAGTGTCAGTGAAGAAAAAAAAAGATAGCTTTTGACAATGTAACGTTTAGTGGGGTTGTGTTTTGAGGCTGAAAAATTAAGACAAAAATTGCCAGTGGTGAAGTGAAGGGAGTATGTCATCTACCAGTGGAAGAGGAAGTGCCCAGGGTTATCTTAGATACCATCCTACTAACAAAGTCGCATTATTGTCTGCCTATTGGTATGACAAATGGAAAGCAACATAATGTGTTAGAACGTTATCATATGTTGACCCATTTCCCTTTTTGGTTAATAGTCTGGGAAGCTGACAAATTTCTAAGCATGAATATCATTTTTGGGGATGGGAGGGGAAAGTATTGATATAAAAGACTTACTTGAACTGTTTGCATTATTGATCAATTGATGTTTATTTCTATTCATTTCATGTGATTATTTTATTTATTAGATACAAGAGTTTAAGATTTATTACAAAGCAGATCTTTCCTTTTTTTTTTTTTTTCCTTTTTGTAGGCTTCTAATTTTTATTTTTGAGAAGTAAAGGCTGTAGAATTGATCAATTTGAATAACCCTAAAACTGCATGAGGAAGAGATGTTCTTAAAACCACACGGCATGACTGTAGGCGATGTTAGAAGATTTTGGCATTCATTGTTGAATTCCGTGCACACGTTTTATTTTACTTTATTCTTAATTTGCATGTAAAGAAAGTGGTTCCCTTTTTATTTTCCTTGTTATTTCATTTTATTCTCTGTGAAGACACCGTACATTTATTTTGATCTCATTTTCTTTCTGTTAGATTTATTTTCTTCTGTAGTGACATTTAGAAAGGTATTTTGGGTATCATTCTTTGAATTCTTCAGGGGTTACAGCTAACTGGTGACAGAAAAAAATATATATCTTGTTCACATTTGTTGCTTACTGATTGCACATCTTAGTACTCTTATAATTTCTCTAATTTGCATGTTACAGAACGGAAGCCAGGACAAGACATAGAAATTAAAGCGAGAGAACGTTACACAGTGGTCGTTGACTGAAATAATAATCTGCATGTTGTTTTCCCTTCTCCCTCCTGCATGCAGGGATTTGGTTTCGTAACTTTCGAAAATAGTGCCGATGCGGACAGGGCGAGGGAGAAATTACACGGCACCGTGGTAGAGGGCCGTAAAATCGAGGTGCATGTCCAAAATATTTTCCTTTACATCTTTTTTATAAATGTCTGCTTTCACGCTCATTCGTTGTTTCAGATGCATCATTGTGTCTTGTATGTGACCCTATTCCCTTCTCATTGTTTATATATATACTTATATATAAAAAGGAAAACTGGCCTTACTTTTTTTTTCATTTTATTTTATTACGTTACTCTTAATACTGCTGAAAGGTGGATGGCAAACGTGAGACCAAAACAAGGTTAATCTGAAAGTTTTTTTATTTGATTTGATTTGATTCTTTTCTTTTCCATGTGTTAGAGCCAATGGGTGCAGTAGGTTGCAGACAGTGGAGAGAGTGTTGCAAAAACAGAACAACATACAGAACAGATTCTTTTTCTTTTCTTTCGTTTTCTTTTTTTAATTTCCACTTCAGGGTTGACGAGGGATCCACAGTGGTGTGCAAATTAAACCAAATTGTGAAAGTAATAGCAATCGAAAGAACAATTGTTCTATATTTGTTAAAAAAAAAATGAGAGGTTTTGTCTTTAAACTTTTCATTTTTTTCTTAAGAAGTCAGTTTGAACCTTTGTATTTTTCTGATAATAAAGCAAATAAACAAACAGGATTTCCCGTTCAATATTTGGCCCCTCTTCATGGATGAAATTGATGCTAAAATTCTGGTACTCGGAAATCTCCTCCTTCTACCACTGGATCTCCCTCAACGTGTCCACAGGGTCATATTTGTTAAAACTTAAAACAAACAAAAAAAGAGAAAAAAAATACCAGTTACGAATGCTTTAGTCTTTGGAGTAAGATGTCGCATATTTTGCCTTTTATTTTCCCCCCCTCGACGATAACGCTTAGGCCCCTCACCAAACTCTCAGTAACCATGGTAACTGTATACAAACCCATGCTGGCGATGGTGGTGAATGGTAAGTGGTGAAGTCCATCTGCCGTTACACGTACTTAGTGCTGATATCTCTCTATACATATATATCTACCACGTGACTTTTTTTGACTTGTCATATTAAGTTTTCTTGATGCTCTATTTTTTTGGATATTGGTACGCCTGTAATTGAGTGTACGTTCTAAGCTAGCCTGGAAGGCACTGACTGGATTGAGACATGACCGGTGCACATCTTACTCAGATCGTTAACTCCATATTGTGTTAAACAATGCACCCTCTCTTTTATCCTTTCGTTAGCTGTGACTTTAAAGCTTGAATGATTTCGTTAATTCTTGCGATGTCAAAGGCTCTTGTTCCGAGTGTTGAATGCTAGATGTTGCTTTCCCCCTATGGTTCTCCCCTCCCAAAGTGTTGCACACGGCGAAAACTTGTTTGTCCCTTTTTTTGACATTTATGTTCCCTTGTACCTTGTCTTTCCCTCCTATTCCACTGCATGTTCCTTCATATGAACTTTATTTTCTGTTTAAAAGCTATTGTTTCTGTGTTACCATGGAGTACACGCATGCTTTTAAGTCTTCAATTATGCAGTTCCTTTTAATTTGCTTTTACTGTCTCCTTATTAAACTTAAATGATATGACATTGCTTTATTGAAATGATTTGTAAGTTAAAATGGTTATGAAATAAATGTAATTATAAAATGTATGATTTTTTTTTTCTGTTATGCACCTACTGCCTTTTATAAATTAAAATGCATTTTAGTTTGTTTTGTTTTATTTTTATTTTTTAAGTAAGTAATCACAGTCATAATGCATGCAACTAATGGAACTGTGGGTTGGCCCCCGGATATGTGCTCATTTGTGTTTTCTGTGTGCATAGGTAAATAATGCCACAGCACGTGTAATGACAAACAAAAAGACTGTCAACCCTTATACAAATGGTGAGTACACCCTGGCCTTTTACCGGAAGTCTCCTGTACCTCTGAACCTGTCAAGTAATTTCATTACAGAGTCTGTTTCAACAAACCCCGTTAGTCTTCGCTTGCGAGGGTGTCCTTACTGCTGACCTGCTACAGTGAACCTCCGGAGCCAATTAGATAATTTCCACAATGGGCCGGGATTAGTTGCAGGTTAACCTGCATGCTCTTTTTTGAGCCACTCTAGGATAGTTCCCATTTAGGGGTGAGGTATAGTCACTATTTGGGAATTGTTTGGGTCATTTAATTTGTTGTTGTAGTAATACTAGAAGCCCATTTGTGCATGAGGGGGTGTCCCTCAGCCCTGCCTACGCCCTCTCACAGTCCAGGACCCTTTGGGGGAGGTCCAACTGCCAGCTTAGGCCCTCTCCCTGTGGGGTCCTTAGCGCTGCTGTGAGGCAAGAGTGGATCCTGCCATGGCAGCTGTGCTCGCCAGCCATGAGCCTGGCATCTGGCTGAGTGGCACACCCTCTGTGGGAGCACACTGACCACCAGGGGGCAGCTCTTGCGTTGAGTGTCTGTCACCTGGTGGTCAGTGTGCATCATAGCAACTGGTTGTTCCGCCATTTGGTTTATTTGCATATTAGCCTTTTATTATATAGGAAGTTGAGGGAGGTAGAGGCTTTTTGTTTATTTGTTTATTAACCATCACCTCATTGGTCACTAGCATTCTTGGATGTGTGATTGCAAAATCTGGTCCCTTCTTTGAATCTCCTTTGGAGTTATTAGGCTTTAGAAGGGGGTTGGAGAGTCCCTCATGACGAGTTCTGAAGTGAGAGAAGAATGTGTGAGTGCTTGTTTCTTACTCTGTGATCATTTTGGGTCAGGCCAGGATGATTCATTGACCCCTCGGGACAGTGCATTCTGGCTCTCCCTAATGGCCAAGTATCACACATTCCCCACACTAAGGACTCACATATACATGGAAAGTCACTAAAAACATTCCAATATTTTGATTTGTTAATCCTCATCAGGGTGCATCTCTTTTAAGATATATAGGGAGAAAGGCTGCTGATATGCTGATCACATACTTAATTGTATCAAATATTATAAAGAAAGTAATGCAGTATTAAAGCATATATGCTTAGTGGAATATTATACCATTAAATGGAGTAGAGTTAAAACTGAGAGAGCCCCATAATGAATGAACATTTTTTCAAATAAAAAATTATATGTATAGCATGATTTGAACTAAATTATGATGGGAATTACACCAAAGTGGTAATGGCTGAATTGAATTGTGAGCCTGGAAGATATCTTTTCTTTGTTTTATAGGTTTTTAAGAATAATTTTATTACTGTCATAAAGGGAAAGTATTGAATTTTCCATTTTTAACATTTTAATTACACATAAAACATGGAAATGTAGAGTCATTTGAAAAAAAAGAAAGAATAAAACATTAAAGAAAAGGCTAAAATATACTTTGAATAACACCACTGCCAACAGGGTTTCCTTTCTCCCTCCTTAGAGGACATCTCCATTATGTCTGTACTTCTATTTTGCATTTGTGCATGTATCTGGAGTAAGTATCTATTTACCGTATCCACAGTATTGTGTACATGCTTTTTATGTAAATGGTATCATGGTGTACATATCATTTTTAATTGGGGTTCATAAATCCACATGGAGTTCTTTCAGTGTTAATACATACAGACCAGATTCATCCTTTTTAGTAGTTATATAATATTACATACATGGGTCTATGTGTTTATCCCAACTTTCCATACCAATTAGATTAATTTTATTTTTGTAAGGATCTTTAGCATTTGGTAACTTTGTTCTTCTTTCTTGTGCCAGAAGCTGCCAATTTGGCTAAATAAGTTTGTTCATATTTTTCAAAGGGGCATCATTAAACAGATATATACTCTCAATATAATAGGGCTCTCAGCTGAAAGATCAGGAGAATTATTTATTCTGCTGACCCATTTTCCCAGCTCCAGCTGCCAAGACCTGTCCTTAAATGGAATAGAAATTTCACAACAGACTTTGGATGCCCAGTGCTGCAACGAAGCCACCTCCAACTCATGGGTCCTGAGGCCTTTCTACTTGGGTCAGAATGAGAGTGCTGCCACTTGCCAGAGTTCATACATGACACCATCACCCTGACTGTTGGGAACCTTAAAAAATTATGAAGTAGTGAGCATGTGTGTGTGTGTGTGTGCACGCACGTTCTCATGCATATGCATAGATGCTCTTGTGTACTGTTTATGAGAGGAAATTAAGTCAGGAAGCTAAATATTATTCCTTAAGCCATATGTATGCATATTTATTTTAAAGAAAGAGTTATTGATCAATGTCATACCCAGGGGCTGAAAACTGGACCTGTGGGATTTTGCACACAATTCAAAGCACGTTCATTAACAGCCAACATTTCTGGAATACTAACTGTGCGGCAGTAGGCGAAGCATATTAAATACCCTGGGCCCACAGGAAATCCTATAGAGAGGAAATGGTTATCCCAATTTTAAAGATGCAAAAACTGAGGCTAGACAAGAGGAAGTAATTAGTGAAGTCATTTGCTTTTGTTGTGAAGTAACAAGATCTCTGGTCATGCCTGTGTATGTGAATGCGTTACTTTCCCCATCATCTAATAAACAGCACTCAGATAGCAACCAGCGACAATAATGCAAGGTATTCGGTGTGGACCCCAAATTCCTGCCAGATGTTGGCATAAGCGGCCCACATCCCAATCCCAGTAGCCATACCTTCTTAATTGCCAGCAATGAGTCACGTGGGCCTCTCTTCCATGTACTTGAAAGGGGCTACTCAGAGGCTTATCCTGACATGTGGACTGAGTGTGGTACCTAAAGGGTCCATGGACAGTCACAGAAGAACTGACTTAGAAAATTCAATACAAATTCTAATTACATAAAGAAGTTGGAGCCCTTGGAGACCTTTGATATTCAAAGAAAGTGGTTCTCAAAGGTTTTTCAATTGTTAGTTCATGAGTATCATCACTACAAAGACATTTCTGATAAATTGCAATACAACTCAACTGAAAATATACAGAGACTCCCTTCGATCCTAAAAAGAGTGGTAGGAGAGGATATTATCAACACACACACACACACACACACACACACACACACACAAAGAAAGTGGTAACTATGTGGAATGATGTATATGCTAATTAGCTTGAGTGTGACACATATTTTACAAAGTATGAGAATATCAAATCCACAAGTTGTACACTTTAATTATGTACTGATGTTAGTTGTCACTTATACCTCAATAAAGCAGGGGGAAAGGAGAAAAGTCAGGACCAATGAAGTTACAGTGAAAGGAGAATATTAAGTGATCTGTGAGATTCATTAGCTACCTTATTCATTCTCACAAACAATCAAACTTATGTTCAGCAAAATTATACATTCCTGGAGTCATCACATTTTTAAGGTCATCTTCAAATAATGAAACATAGCTATTAATGCCAACATCATAGCCATACATTCCTTCAATTGTGTAACCAACAAGAGTTTGAGTAGCTGCAAAGTTTCTAATGATTAATAAGATTGGATCCTGAATGCAATGAGACAGATGGTTAGGAGACTGCACTATGGAAGACTAGAGTTAATGCTCTCATGGAGGACATGGATTCTATTTCCCAGAACAGTTAACTTGGGTATAAGAAAAGACTATGGAATGATATATAAGGATTTGTAAACCCTACCCATCAGAAAGCTCCACAAACAGAAAATTGGGCTACTTCCATAGTGCTGATTTTTCCTGAGGATCCAATACTCAGGGAAGAGTTGGGGTTTACTCTGCCCATTGGAAGTCAAATGCTTGCTCTGCAACACAAATTGAGAACCGAATCTCAGGGATTTACTAGATATTGGAGAAGCGTGGGGGTTGGATGGAGCTCTTTTATTTCTTAGAGATCTTAGGAAGGATAAAAACTGAACAAAGATACTATAGGGGGAGGTGAAGTTTGGTGTCAGCTTTACCTTTCTCTAGCTACTTACCGACAGGCAGGTTGCTTAAACTCTCCACACACTAGTATTCTCAAGTGGCAATTGCAGACATAATAGGATCTACTACTTAGGATATCTGTGACTATTAAGGGAGATAAAGTACAATTCAATGACATAATAATCTCAACAATATGTAGCTATCTTGTTTGTTTTTTGCTATAGATAGTAAATTGCATTTTCTGACAAACATATTAGTTTGAGGATCAAATATTCAGATGCTTGTAGAGACTAGTAGGTAAAATAAGTGAGCAAACAGACAAGGGCTGAGGAACTCAAAGTATTTTTAGATTGTCTTTCACCTACAAACTGGTAAAAGCAAGACATTTCTTTATTAGAAGGAAAAACAACATATGGTAACAATGAAAAGCTGCCAACATGAGTCCTCTAAGCCAGGCACACACTAGGGAGTAGTGGTGACTGACTAACTGGGAGCTTAATGGGGTCTCTGTTCACCTCCAGCCATTTAAAAGTTGCCATTTATAATAAGGTTTCAAGAGAACCAGAAATCCTGTATTGTAGATGAAATCTAAATGTTGAGAATAAATATATGTGGCAGAAAAAAGGAAGGGAAGGGAAGGGAAGGGAAAGGAAGGGAAGGGAAGGGAAGGGAAGGGAAGGGAAGGGAAGGGAAGGGAAGGGAAGGGAAGGGAAGGGAAGGGAAGGGAAGGGAAGGGAAGGGAAGGGAAGGGAAGGGAAGGGAAGGGAAGGGAAGGGAAGGGAAGGGAAGGGAAGGGAAGGGAAGGGAAGGGAAGGGAAGGGAAGGGAAGGGAAGGGAAGGGAAGGGAAGGGAAGGGAAGGAAAGGAAAGGAAAGGAAAGGAAAGGAAAGGAAAGGAAAGGAAAGGAAAGGAAAGGAAAGGAAAGGAAAGGAAAGGAGGGGAAGATAGAGGGAGGGAGGGAGAGAAAGGGAGGAAGGGAGGAAGGGGAGAGGAGAGAGAGAGAGAGAGAGAGAGAGAGAGAGAGAGAGAGAGAGAAGGAAGAAGAGGAGGAGGAGGAGGAGGAGGAGGAGGAGGAGGAGGAGGAGGAGGAGGAGGAGAAAGAAAGAGAAAGGAAGGAAGGGAGGGAGAGATAAGTGAACCAAACACAATGTACCAATAACTTTTCATTTGGGGCACTGCCTCATGGCCCATTTCAATGACCAGGCCCTGGTATTCTCAGTACATGTTTTTGGAAAACATTGATGTGCAGTTTGGAAAACTCCTGTGGTGCATTTAAGGATATTTTTTTGAATGTGTTTCTTTGATATGTAATCCAGTGTTAAGGAACATTGAAACCTGTGAAGATTTTTGTAAGTTAATTTGAGCCAAACTGTTGACAATTGCCAGGAAAAATAATTTCAAAATATTGAGATAATGTTCTGGAGAATGGTGGTTTTTCACGTATTTTATAAATTACCCTCAAAGGATGAGAATATAAAACTGGGTTACATGAAATCTATTGGTGATAGATTAGGGAGGTGGGAGAAAGCAAAGTGGGGAAACCTCTGGGATTGGATTAAAAAGTAAAATGGTTGACACATGCTTCTTTTACATAGGAGGGCATAAGGTAGTTAACAGTCAACCATTAACATGACAACAATAACAATGAGGGAGTTTGTGGTCTCTGCCCTATGATTGTGCCCTAAAGGATCCAGAAAAAGGGAAGTTACAAGTTACCCTGATATTCCAAGAATGTGTTATCTATTGCAAAAAGACCCTAGGCTCAGTTAAGATCAAAGTTGATCTTTGTCAGGGAAGATGACCAGCCTAGGACTTGTCTACCCATCACAGACTGCTTTTTAATTAAAAAGCTTTAATTTCAGACCTTCCTTTGTGGTTACTTTAGATCTCGTGATCACGTTTGCAAGGCAGCCACACAGGCCTTCCCTGAGGTAGCCAAATTAGCATGTGGCCGCACACCAGTAAAGTTCTAGAAAAGGCCTGTTCAGGCTTTGTTTTTTGGATTTTGTTTATTTGTGTGTGTGTGTGTGTGTGTGTGTGTGTGTGTGTGTGTGTGTGTACATATTCAGACTGGCCTTTTAACACCTAATAGAGCCTTAGTTAACAGCAGGCATGTTGGCCAGGGTCTTTAGGGTAAGCTGGCAGACGACCTTTGAGAAGCTGAATTGAGGATGGGAGCACCGATTTAGAGCTGGCCCCTCCAGGCCCAGTCACAGAGGGGTTTCTCTAAACAGCTCCTGCATCTGATATGGAGAGACACCCCCATGTGTCTGGTCTCTGCTCCACTGCCTTGGTTTATGGGGGGCCCTGGGAGGCCGGGAGTGGTGGGCTTAATCAGCTGTTCTCTTTCTGTGGTAAGCCTCATTGTTCGGTTTAATGTCCTTGATCAAAATCTGTGAATATATAAGGCCTGGGGATGTACACAAACTGCCTGAGAAATTAAAACTGGGATCATTTTGTCCGTCTTCCTAGACAGTGCAGGCTCTTGTCTCCAGCAGGGTTATCCCAAGGGTCTCTTCCAGGTACTAGATGGAGTCACGGGGACTAGGAGACCATTTGCATGCAATTTGCATACATTTACATAAGCCTGCCTGAGCTCTGTAAGTCTGAATAGAGGTGATTTTCAAGGGCTGGATTCTTATTACCTTTCCCTTGAAGACTGTCACCCGTAACGGGGTCCTTCTTTATTAGATGTATATCAGGAAGCAGGTCATTGGAGGTTGAAAGAAGATAGAATCCTAACCAAAAGGGAATGAGTCTATTTAAAAAGCTTTATATTCTTTCAGTTCCTTTAGAGCAAAACTAAGTATATATGGAGTACCGACTATTCACCAGATGCAGTATTAGATGCTGGGAATTCATATTGGATGTCAGACCTGCTCACTTTACCAGTAATTCTAATAAAGGAAATGGTTATAAAGACAATTCACAAGCAGGCAAAGAGAAAAGATGTACCCAGGTAGTGTTAACATGAAGTAAAACTGGGAATTGAATCGGGGAGTAGCTCAAAGGCAGGGAAGGGAGTGGCATTAAGTAGCTTCCCCTGGGAAGACACTGGAGACCTAAATCAGGTCAGAGTTGTCAAGAGTGAAGGAATCAGTCCAGAGAGAGAGAGAGAGAGAGAGAGAGAGAGAGAGAGAGAGAGAGAGAGAGAGAGAGAGAGATATTAGATAAATAGCAGATAGATAGATGATAGATAGATAGATAGATAGATAGATAGATAGATAGATAGACAGACAAATAGAGGGAAAGGTTACTTGGCCCAAGGAAATGAGGAAGAGCAAAGCAGACGATAGAAACATGATTTTTAAGGCCATCTTAGATACCTCTGAAAAATTTCTTTCTTTGAGGAAAAGAAAGACTATTGGTATAACTTCTCTTTGACAGTTACACCGAAGGGAATTAATGGCTCCACACCCAGTGAATGGTGTGTGCAACTGAAGAATTCAAGATAGCCAATAATGATGCCTACAAGATAAACCTTACTTAAGTAGTGTTAAAGAAAGACCCTGTCTCCACTACCAGTAAAAGGTGGGGCAGAGGGAAGAAGAGACAATAAATAAATAATTCATTTAATATAGCTCCATATAGATTTCTTTCACAAACCCTAGATTTCTATGGACTGAAAAGAAAATGTTAAATATGTTTAGATAACCCTGTAGTTTTTTATTTGCAATCAGCTCCGCCCCCCTCTCTCTCTCTTTAATTTCAAATAACTTGACATGAACATCAGTTCCCAGTTTTTCTTGAATAGGGTATTTTCTTCTTTGAGAAGCAGCGGGATTTCAGCTGCCCAAATTGAAGTCATTCTCTGCATTCATAGAACACATATTCTGAAATGTTTGGGGCAATATTTATTTTTATATCACTATAGAAACTCCTAAAAGACAAGATGTGGTTAATATGAGAGGAAGTTGTGTGTATGAAGTTTAAGAAACCACTGGGACAATAGGTATCAAAATTTTATGTCTCTTTCTGTAGGTCTGAAATATAGCTAAGGATTTCCCATTAAGAAGTGTCCCAAGTAATTCAAAAACAACCTTTAGAAAAACTCTATTCTAAGGACATCGTGGGAACTGTAAACTGGCTAGCTTATTAAAGTTGGAACTGAAAGTTCATAGAAACCAAACAGTTTCTCAGAGTATTCTAGAAAGTCCTTAAGTCCACTTGGGGCATATCTATTGAGATGTCGGAACCTCTTAGTGGGTCAGTAGATTTTGGTCTACTTCTTACAGGCACTTCACTTAGGTCAGTCTTTGGGGTATCATACCTCTCTCTTCTGGAAAGAACTGAGAGTCTCCTTGTCAGAAACACCTTCTCACACATACCAACTTTCACCACTGCCTTTGCTCAGGGACATTCACTCAAGGACCTGCTGTGTTTCACCCTCAACCCAAGGACATAAATTTTCCACAAAAGGCAGCACATGTGTCCTTCACTGCCTTTCAGGAGTTCCATGTAATGGATGTTTTCATAAAGATGTGCCAGCAGGGGCAGGAAATGAACACCAAACCCTAAAACATGCTCATTCTTCTGAGATTGTTGCCCAAATAGAGCCCAGCAGGTCTCTTATATGTGTAGCTGCTTGATTTGCAAATATTCTTCTATGCTCTTTCTTGAGTAAAAGTTTTTGAAAGGCCATGATTCATTTGACAGAAAATGCTCCTTCCAAAACTTGGAATATTACAGCATTCTGGTCATCTTATATTAAGGTTATTAGATATCATGCATTGATTAGGAATTGGTATGGCTCTTGAAAGCAACTGAAATATATTCCATACTTAATCTCTCCTGGATAAATGTCATTTTCTTTAGGATTTAAAAAGCACTTTGGAAGTCTACAGTCTCCAGATCGTAATTAGGAATGACAATTATCAGAATACTAGAGACCCCTCACCTAGCCTACATGCTTCTCACAATCCAGGATCCCTTGGGGGATGTCAGACTGCCAGTTTTGGCCAACATTGGCAGTGCAAAATCCCCCAAGGGATGTAATAGTGTGCGAAGCAGCAGGCGACTGGGGAGGAACCCCTGCCGCTCCACTCATCCCAGCCCTGCTGTGCCTGCTGCCACCACTTGGTAAGCTTGCTGAGCAGTGCTCCTGCTGTGGGAGTGCACTGACCCCCAGGGGGCAGCTCCTGTGTTGAGCATCTGGGCACTGCTGGTCAGTGTACATCATAGTGACCTGTTGACAGGTCGTTCCGTAACTTTGGCTTTTATATATATAGATAGATATTTCTGCAAAGAATTCTATTCCTGTGAGCTTGCAAATTTTTGTGAACTTAACACACAGAGACATGCAATGAATTATTTAGTGGTGACCCAGAAAAGAGTAAAAGAATGAAATTATTTAGTGGCTCTAAAAAATATTGATATGGAGGAAAATTAATTACCATATCACTTTCAAAAGGTTCACCTGTGGCTGGTCAGTAGTTTCCATTCTATTAACTTGTATAGGAAGAAAAATGAAAGGAGGAAATCACTTTATTTCCCTAGAACTATGTAGTTTGCAAAGAATGTTTATATGCCCAAACTATCTATTCTCTGAATTTTAAAATTATAAAAAACACCAACCCCTTAGATGTGCGGTTAATTTGTCACGATATTCTTTGTTGAGTCAAAGGTGATGTTAATGTTTTGTGTATTCCTTTCAAGGCTGGAAATTGAATCCAGTTGTGGGTGCCGTCTACAGTCCCGAATTCTATGCAGGTAAACAGTTTCTCTTTTGCACGATGTCTTCTTGTTCTGTTCTATCTGTGCTTTGCCTGCCACTAAAGAATTGGGTTTTGTTTAAAAAAAAATGGAGCCAAGTAAATTATTAAGTTTTGAGTGATTTTATGTATTTATTTATTATCATTATTTATTTTTATTTTTTTTTTTGGCAAAATCAAAAGTGTTTAAAACCCTTTGGAAAAATAAAGGAGGATCATGTTAGTTCCACTGTGGAGCAGGCATGGAGCCACTGCTCCTTCTGACATTTCCCATCGGTTTTGCCTTAAAAAAAAAAAGTGGGAAACTTTGTGCAGGTGCATATTAAGTAAATGTTCACGCCCATTTTTGGTCAGCACCTGGATGTGTTCTTTTAGCCATACATTGCCATTCGGGGTTGCATTTTTTTTCCCCTGGCAAAGCAGAGAATTAGATTACTAGTTATTCCAATAATGTGGCAATGAGTTGCAATTGCCAAGATAAGGACTACTGAGAAAACTGCAAAGAACTAAATTGTCTTTCTTTCTCCATTGATCCATTTTCTTTAGCAATTTCAGTGCTCTCTGCTTTGCCTTCAAGGGTGTATCTCCCTTCCCCCTTCCCTGCCTACCCTGCAACTCCCTCTCAGCTGGGAAAGACACTATAGGAGAAAACCTGACCATCAAATTCAGAGAGAGAGTAGCCCAGAGCAACAGCGGCTGAGATTTTGCTCGGCTTGGCCTGTCACTTCTGCCTGTTGTGTCTTCGCTCATTAACAAGGCTGCTTTTAACACCTGGGGACCTGAGGAGATGTGCTGCATGGGTATTGAAAAGAGGTCTTTCTTAGATGTGACCCTTACTTTTTAATAAGGAGAAAGCAATGACCACTTGGTCTGTCCACCTACTTAGGGAGTTTTTGAAGGTAAGTCATGCCCCCTGCTTTGCCTTTTCTGGGGTGCCTCACTGCGGTCACCATCATGACACTAAGCATCCACCTTATTGGATGATAAGGGAGCATGGGAAACTTAGCTACTTTGGTATAAGAACCAATTTAATTTTTTTAAAAAGGTAAATCTGGGAAGGCCCAATATGTGTGCTGGATTTTAGATAGTTCTGCAGTTGTTCTTCCACATGTGGATTTTGCCACAAGCCTGGGTTAAGTCCAAGGAGTCTATAACTGTGGAGTAACAATGTTGATGCTTATGAGGGATGAGAGAGATACCCATAAACTATATGGTGCAACCCATATCCTAACAAGACACCTAGCAGAGTGAGCACCAGGGACACTGCACTCAAGACAGCCTGGGTTCAAATTTTGGGCCCTCTATTGGCAAGCTGTGTGACTCTAGGCAAGTTACTTAACCTCTCTGTGCCTCAGTGTCTTCCTCTGTTAAATGGGAGGTAATAATAATAACAAACACACAGGTATTTATAAGAATTACGTGGATTAATGTATGAAATGTGTTTGGTGCAGAGCTGGCACCATGCAAACACTGGGTAAATAGAAATAAGTTACTAAATAAGTTACTATTCCACCTTGTTGCCATAAGTGAAAATTAGCAGAGAGCTGACGATGCTGAATTGTGAGTGTACCATTAGACTAAGAGATTCTCTTCTTATCTCATGAGAGGACTAGTCCTTCCCTTCTCAGCATGTCCATTTGGCGGAAGTTAATTTTGGGACCAGAAGTAAGGCAGTCTGTCCAGGGACATAGATAATGCTGGAGTACATCCTTGTCCAAACGGCAAATAAATGAAATTGGCCCAAAGGTACAAAGAGGCATTAAGACAGCACCTCTGTGCACCTGAAGACGCTGCCCAGTGAAATGGAGCAGTGGGAGTAAAGAGGTGGCAGACGCTGTGTGTGGTGTGTGCGTGCACACTCACCTACCTGCATGCTTTATCCCAAAGTTATGGATCAAGAACAAGGAGCAAGATGTCATTTGCTGAAGAGGTAGGGTATATACACGCGTTGTAGTAGAGAGAGGAAAGTGCGTTTTTCTGATCCCAGGCAAAGTAGTTGGTCATTTTTTTCCCTGGCAAGCAGGAAAACACCAAATATCTTTGTCAAACCCATATGCATTTTTGTGGTTTTTAAAGAGGACAATAAGATGGAATGAACAATTTAGACTAATGCATTCATTCGAGAGCAAATTAATCCGAGTAACTTTTAGAACATTAGAACAGGGATTCAAATTAGCCCTGGCCCTAGAAATTAAATAACTGGGCTATATAGAGAAAGAATAAGTTATCATATGGGTAAATATGGCCCTAGTTCTTTCTATGTGCAGGTACTAATGTACACACTGTACCTAAATTAACATGTTAAAATTCCTTTGGCAATTTTCCAAAAGAGGGGACTAAGGTTCAAGGAGTTAGCATCATGGGACTAAGATGCCAAGCTGGTAAGAAATTGGCAAGAATTTGAAAGCAAGGGGCTATCTTCTTTACAACCAGATATGCTGCTTCTTTCTTTTTTGTGAATATTAGAAGTCATTCTTACTGACTGTGCCTTATGATAGCAGAGACTCCTGATCTAAGTCCAAATCCAGAAGAGAAATAAGATAATGATTTTGGATTATGTCCACCACTGTCTGCCACCATAGTCAGACATGTCATCCAGGTGTGTCAGGGGAAGCTGTAAGGAGTCTGAACAAGCACGTTCTGATCTCTACGACTTGTTCCAAACAACTTACACCTTAAAAACAGGGGGCCTAGCTAAGTAAGTGACGCTTGGGAAATCTGAACATTTGTGGTTGAGTTGACAATATTGAGCCTCTGCTTAATCAGAAGCTTTTCCTTTGTTGCCTGTATATTTGTGTCTGTAGATAGAGCTTGTAGTAGTCAGAAATGTGGGGAAATACTGCTGCGAACTCAACACTACAAAACTATCCCTTGGAAATATTTGAAAAAAAAAAAACCCACTGAGACTCCTTTCAGCTTCAATCTAAAGTTTCAGGCACCTGTATCTATGGAATGCATACAGGGGTGGGCAAAAGCAGGTTTAGTTATAATACAAATAAACAAGACAATAATTAATAAATGATAATACAAGAATAAGCCTACTTTTTTGCTCACTCCTGTATATATAAAGATATCGGTGTGGAATATATTTATTTCCATAATCAGGTATAATTACTAATGTTGCCCATTGAAATACCCATGACTAAGAATTTCGGGGGGCATTTTAAATCTCCCCAAGTATAAAAATAGTCTGCATTTATTTTACAATTTTGAATATGCCTCAAATCTGCAACGAAGACCCTGTCATTGATTTGCTAGGGATGTTTAGCAGGCCAGCTTTGTGTCTGTCTGAGATAGAAAGCCAGACTTATTAGTCATTTCTCTGTATAAGATGCTGCGTTAATGACACATATCATAATATTCCATAGTATAATTATCGATTTTCTGAAGCTTATGCAGAATTAACAGCCCAGCCTCCAATTGTCTCCCCGACTGGGGCATGAAAAGTTCACATATTTTGTAAATTAAAATCGATATTTTCAATCTCTCCTAAAGGTAATTTTCCTAATTTAGTGGACTTTTCCCTAACATTTATTTTCTCTTTTAATTATAAAATGGCAGAGTATTGATTTCCCTGTATAACCTCCTGATGCCCTGAGTGCATTTTTATTGCTAACGCAGGGTGGGGGTGGGGAGAGCAGTTGAACCTCTTAATGAGGATCTTTAATTACTAGCTTTGTATTAATTTGCTTTGATAAATTATGACATGCGCTCTCCCTCGCCTACACAGTCCAGGGGAGGCATTCAGAAAGCTGTGCAGGAAGGTCTTTCATTTTGGGTGGGTCTTCTGAGCTCTCAGGCCTGGATGAACTCTGAAACACTCACCCAACTGGGCCCCAGAGCAAGTAGACATAAATCAGCTTAATCCCACAACCGCATATAAATCTTCTCTGAAGACAAGGTGGTGTTTTCCTGTTATATTAAGCAGCATTTATTAGTTTTCCATATGTATCATCATCTTCAGACTTCTGGAGTCTTATTCTCAAGAAAAAAGATTGATAAGTCAATAAAATAAAATAAAATAAAATAAAAAGTCCAGATGGGTTTCCAAGACTTTAGCCTGTACCTATGTCCATTCCATTTTAGGGTTTAAAGACAACCAAGACCCTACAGAGAAGTACAGTATCTACAAATATCTGTTCCCAGTAGCATGCCTCAACTTACGTAGTGTAATTAGAATAGTGTTTCTAAGAATCTCAAGGAAGAAGCCTCAAAGGGGATTCTTACAGTTTTCCTGTCTGTGTGAGAGATCCCCTTTGCTTGCTAATAAAAAAGGTTTTTAAGAAGTGGTGTCTTTGAGAGATAATCATAATATCTAGCCCAAGCAACTATTGATCGAAAGCACCTTTAATCTTCATAAATAAGTACAACAAAATCAAAATAAATAACAGAAGGTTATGCAAAGACGTCAACATGGTACTGACAAATGGCAAATTCATATGTTTCTCAATTGCCGCTAAGATCACTGCAAAGCTTAACCGCACTGTATATCATATCTGCCAACTCATTTCTGTGATTAAATATTCCATCAGTGGGCCTCTAAGGCAGCAAAGCTTAACAAGATTCATAAGATGCACCACTTGAACACGCATAACTCACTTCGAGGGATGGAGAGCACCCCGCTTGCAAAGGAAAATTGGAATCCAGTTCAATTACTCCACAAGTCGCGATCAATAAGGGAAGGAAAAGACCTTTCAGTGCAATGCAAATGTAAAATATAGTTCGGTCCTGATGACAAGAAACACACAATTCAAGTCCATAGTAGAAAGATACAGGGTAAATTAGTCAAAAGCCTTGAAAATGACAATGAAAAATTGTCTTGGTGAGACTATTACTATGAGCAGGTGTTGTGTTGTTGGTTTTTTTTTTGTTTTTTTTTTTGGGGGGGGGGAGGGGAGTGTGGTTCCTAAATATATACTCCTCCTGAAAATAACAATTTCTGATTTCGAGGGGCAGAACAATAACAGTTACTTAAAGAAGGGCGTACCTGGCTGCAAA